GCTGCTTACCGGGAGCTCACATTCAGGATGTGACTTGAGAGGCTTACCAAACTGATCAGACCTTCGGATCGTTACCCATTCTTCTCCACGTGGGAACTAACGATATGGCCAAGAATGACCTTGAGCCGGTTACTGCGGATTATGTAGCGCTGGGAAGAAGGATCAAAGAATTCGGAGCGCAGGTGATGGAGAGAGGACTGGGCAGGGATCATCTAATTGAGGACGTAAATGCGTGGTTGCGCAGGTGGTGTCGCAGAGAGGGCTTTGGTTTCTTCGACCATGGGACTCTATTACGGGCACAAGGATTGTTAGGAAGAGATGGGATCCACCTAATGAAGAGAAGGAGGAGCATCTTCGCGGGAAGGCTTGCAAACCTAGTGAGGAGGGCTTTAAACTACGTTCGTTGGGGGACGGTGACCAAAACCCTGAGGGTAATAGGAAAGTTGGGTACCAGAAAGAAATGCAAAGAGGAACGAGCAAGAAAGGAGGACCCCTGATTTGAATGGAGAAGATAGGGCGATCAACTGGTTACCTGAGGTGTTTGTACACTAATGCGAGAAGCCTGGGCAACAAACAGGAAGAACTGGAGGCCCTGGCCCAGTCCAAGAACTATGATTTAATTGGGATAACAGACTTGGTGGGATGACTCACATGACTGGAGCGCTGTCATGGAAGGGTATAGATTGTTCAGGAAGAACAGGCAGGGGAGAAAAGGAGGAGGAGTTGCACCATATGTAAGAGCACTATGATTGCTCTGAACTCCAGTATAAAGAGTGAGGAAAAACCTGTTGAGCGTCTATGGGTTAAGTTTAAAGGAGCAAACAACAGCAGTGATGATGTGGTTGGTGTCTGCTACAGGCCACCGAATCAGGTAGATGAGGCTTTCTTCGGACAACGGAGAGAAGCTTCCAGATCGCAGGCCCTGGTTCTTGTGGGGGACTTAATCACCCTGCCATCTGTTGGGAGACCAATATGGCAGTACACAGGCAATCCAGGAAGTTTTTGGAGAATGTTCAAGATAACTTCTTGACACAAGTGCTGAAGGATCCGACCAGGGGTTGTGCGCAGCTTGACCTTCTGCTCACAAACAGGGAGGAACTAATAGGGGAAGTGGAGGTGGGTGACAACCTGGGAAGCAGTGATCAGGAGATGGTAGATTTTCAGGATCCTGACCAAAGGAAGAAAAGAGAGTAGTAAAATACACACCTTGGACTTCAGAAAAGCAGATTTTGACTTGCTCAGAGACCCGATGGGCAGAATCCCCTGGGATGCTAACATGAAGGGAAAAGGAGTCCAGGACAGATGGCAGTATTTTAAAGAAGCCTTATTGAAGGCACAGAAAGAAACCATCCCGATGCATAGCAAGAGAGGCAAACATGGTAGGAGACCAGATTAGTTTACAGGGGAAATCCTTGGTGAACTTAAGCACAAAGGAAGTTTACAAAGAGTGGAAACTTGGACAAATGACCAGGGAGGGATTTAAATGTATAGCTCAAGAATGCCGGGACGTTATCAGGAAGGCGAAAGCACAAATGGAATTCTGACTGGCTAAGGATGTGAAGGATAACGAGAGGTTTCTACAGGCATGTTAACAAGAAGAAAGTGATCAGAGAGGGTGTACGGCCCCTACTGGATAAAAGAGGTAACCAAGTGACAGATGATGTGGGGAAAGCTGAAGTACTCAATGCTTTCTTTGCCTCGGTATTCAGACAAGGTGGGCTCCCGGACTAATGCACTAAGTGACACAAGATGGGATGATGGACAGCCATTGGTGGATAAAGAACAGGTTAGGAACTATGTAGAAAAGCTAAATGTACACAAATCCATGGGTCCGGACGTAATGCATCCGAGAATACTGAGGGAGTTGGATGTCATTGAGGAGCCTTTGGCCATTCTCTTTGAAAAGTCATGGAGATCAGGAGAAATCCCAGATGATTGGAAAGGCAAATGTAGTGCCCATCTTCAAAAAAGGGAAGAAGAATGATCCAGGGAACTATAGGCCGGTCAGTCTTACCTTGGTTCCTGGAAAAATCATGAAAGGGATCCTTAAGGAATACATTTTGAGGCACTTGGAAGAGAGGAAAATGATTAAGAATAGTCAGCATGGATTCACAAAGGGCAGGTCATGCCTGACCAATCTGATTAGTTTCTATGATGAGGTAACTGGCTCTGTGGATGTGGGAAAGTCGGTGGATGTGATAAACCTTGACTTTAGCAAGGTTTTTGATAGTCTCCCACAATATTCTTGCCAGCAAATTAAGAGAATGTGGATTGGATAAATGGACGGTAAGATGGCTAGAAAGCCGGGCCCAGCAGGTAGTGATCAACAGCTCGATGTCAGGATGATGCTCGGTTTCTAGCAGAGTGCTCCACGGTTTGGTTCTAGGACTGGTTTTGTTCAGTATCTTGATGAAGGACCTGCATGAGGGGATGGATTGCACCCTCAGCAAGTTTGCAGATGACACTAAGCTAAAGGGAGAGGTAGATAATACTTGAGGGCAGAGATAGGGTCCAGAGTGACTTAGACAAATTGGAGGATTGGGCCACAAGAAATCTGATGAGGTTACACAAGGACAAGTGCAGAGTCCTGCACTTAGGACGGACGAATCCCAAGCATAGTTACAAGCTGGGGACCAACCAGCTAAGTAGTAGTTCTGCAGAAAAGGTCGTGGGGGTTACAGTTGATGAGAAGCTGGATATGAGTCAACAGTGTGCCCTTATAGACAAGAAGGCTAATGGCATATTAGGTCGCATTAAGAGGAGCGTTGCCAGCAGATCCAGAGATGTCATTATTCCCCTTTATTTGGCTCTGGTGAGGCCACATCTGGAGTATTGTGTCCAGTTCTGGGCTCCCCACTACAAAAAGGATGTGGACGCATTGGAGAGGGTCCAGCGGAGAGCAACCAAAATGATTAGGGGGCTGGAGCATATGATTGAGGAGAGGCTAAGGGAGTTGGCTCTGTTTAGTCTGCAGAAGTGAAGAGTGGGGGGGCGATTTGATAGCACCCTTCAACTTCCTGAAGAGAGGTTCCAAAGAGGATGGAGAGAGGCACTTCTCAGTAGTGACAGATGGCAGAACAAGGAGCAATGGTCTCAAGTTGTGGTGGGAGAAGTCCAGGTTAGATATTAGGAAAAACTATTTCACTAGGAGGGTTGTGAAGCTCTGGAATGGGTCACCCAAGGAAGTAGTGGAGTCTCCATCCCTAGAGGTGTTTAAGTCTCAGCTTGACAAAGCCCTGGCCGGGTTGATTTAGTTGGGATTGGTCCTACCTAGAGCAGGGGGCTGGACTTGATGATCTTCTGAGGTCTCTTCCAGCTGTATGGTTCTAACTGCTGTCAGCACTTCCTCCTCTCAAAAGTGAACTAAAAATGGGACAAATACAGAAATTGCAACCTACTAATGGCTAATCACGGGTAAGTTGTGCTCCTGATTTGCTAAGAATTGTGTGTGCTGTATTGTTGAACTTAAGCACATCTGGTTGGGCAGATCTCATCCCCTAGTTTTATTATGTCTTCCCTAGATTGTGAACTCCAGAGTCAAGGTTACCATGTGCCTAACACAACAGGGGCTTCAACATGGCTGGCTTCTATGCAATACTGTAAAATAAATGATGAATAGTAGTATGAAGTGCTTAGGACTTTTTGACCTCAGTTGTAGGTTTTGACATAGTGCAGAGCCAGTATCATTTGTGTTAGTGATCCCCTAGTATGGTGACCCAGTGCCATGGTGCTCTTTATATCAGGTTTCCTTTGATATTGCTAGTCTCAAGGTATGTTGATTGTAATGCCAATTGCATGAAGTTACAGCTTAAGACTGTCCAGAAACTGCAATGTTGAGCAATGTTTCCCATAAAGGGGTCATGTTACTCCCATGATTTCATGTGATATCTGATGTGATTCTGAAGTTTAAAGTTTTTAATTTTTAAAGTGCAATGTGGGTTTGCCTACCTGTCTGGCACATCTTGACATCACTGTATTCCTACCTGAGTTTGTGTGGTTCTTAGCCTAATTGAGCAGAGATCCATTCTTAAAAGGAACAGAATTGGGTTTAAGTAATGAAAGGGATTTTTTTTTAAGCATTGGACTTTAGCAACTAGTAAAATTAATTCCATATGGAAAGTGAACAAACGACAGAATATTTTTATAATCCAAGATAACCCTCACAAGCTTGTCATAGGCCCTTAGTTTCCATATTTTATGGTGTGTACAGATTCATTTAGTTGAAATTAATTGTGAAGTCATAATGGCCAAACCAGAAAAAGACTCACCAAACACACAGATTTGAAGCTACCCTCCCTCACGTCTTTCATGTTGTTAATTTGTGTTATATTTTTCTTCCTATGGCCCAAACTCTGCAAACTCTGTGGGCATCCTTTTTAATTTTAAGCACGTGAGTTACTCCATTGAAGTTAATTAGAATTTGTGCTTTCAAGTACATGTAAAGTGATTGGAAGATTACAACATAGTGAAAAAAGTATCAGTAGATGTAATTCTAATTTAAAACCATGTTTCATGCATAATTCCTTTTAATAAGTTATTTTTTCAACTGTTTACTTATAGATGTTTCAAGACTAATGATTAGTAGTGAAAGAGGGTTAGCCTTCATAAGTCTTAAGGTTTTTTAAATAGCCAAGCATAAATGTTAAGGTTTTTTAAATAGCCAAGTATACATAGTTTTAGTATACCTTGTATAAATTTTGTGAATTTTTGACAACTGCCATGTGGCAAATATATCTTGCTTTTTTGTGTGTTCCTTTTGAAGAATTTGGGGTTAACACAATTTCTTTATTAAATGTGTAGAATTCCTCAAATTTTCTATCAAATCTTGTTGTTAATTCCCCAGTGCCGCCACCTGGTTAAAATAAGCATTTATATTAAAAGGAGACATTCATTTGCAAGGATTCTGCTATGCAGCTAAATGTTGATTGCTTTGCTATGTTTTTGTTCTCCATTGGCATTTGCAGTAGTAAAGCAATATTTTTTTCTTCTCCTTTTTATAGTGTCGGTGTCCTTTGTGCTTATGCTGCCAACCAGCACTTAACAAGTCAAGTCCGGGGAGCAAAGAACCTGGTGCACAGTAATTTTAAAGACCTAAGAATTTTCCTCAATGATACTCCAGGGGTAAAGAGATTCTTTCCTTATATGTGGGTGTATCTGTAAGATAAGCATTCTAACAGTGCTTCTTCCTATTCATTATTAGTGATGCATGCTGCAAACCATATATCGTTTGGTTGCTCTGCTTTCCAGTTGCATAAAATGTAATGCACAATGCATGAGAAATCCTTTATCTTGTATTTATAAATATCTACCAGTTATTCTTCTAGACCAGTGTTCTTTGAACACATTCCTGCAGAGCATCTTACAGTATTTAACACTCCTTTGCCTTTTTTTCTGTTGCTACACTATGCATTGCCAAAGAGCTAATTTTTTTAAGGGAACTGACCTGTTTTTGGCTGTTCTTATACAAGTGTACATGAGCTACTGCCCCATATATCGCATTTCTTTGTCAATATTCTCTCTAGGGTGAACGGTAGCCTTTATTGTATTTTTTTGAACAACTTTTATTTGGTATATATTGAGACATACCAAATATGAAGCATAGTATTCTTAATGGCTTCAAAGTTTGTTTACAAAGAAAGTAGAGAGTCCTCCAAATACTTCTCTGACTTTCTCCAATAAAAGATGAATTCTTGTTAGAAAACTTTATGATCGCTTTTCCCTTCTGTTTTGTTTGATGTTTGATTCATTATCAACGGAAAACTCGATACTGTTTAAATATTTTGGCTTTAAAAATCATGTGGAAAGCAAACAAATATTTCACTTATTACAGGTAGCTAAAATTTTGACAGAGCCAATTCAGGCAACACTGTCTTGTGTGGGTATAGTGGCCACCTTCTGAATTTGTTGTAAGAATCCCACTTTATCAGAGTATGAACTGTTTCTTCTTTTTGACCTGAGGGTTTTGTGGTGATAAAGCAGGGGTGGGCAATAATTTTTAAAGGTGGGGGCACTTCACAGATTTTTAAAGTGGCCCCAGACTGCCCTGCTAGTGGCAGGGCCTCAGGCACAAGGGGCGGGGACAGGACATTTCTGTGCTCCCCTGTCCACAGACCTTGATTGGCTTGGGGAGAGGGGGAAGCATGTGAAGTCTTTGCCCTCTTCCTCCACCCCTATCGGGTGCCTGGAGAGAACCAACGGCTGTTCTGAACAGCCGGCTATTAACTCTAAGCGCCATGTGCCTAGTGCAGGGGAGGAGACTTTGCATGCTCCCCCATCCTCAGGTCTTGATTGGCCTGGGAGTGGGGAGGCATCAAGGCATCCGCGGGCCAGAACAACCTCCTTGGTGGGCCAGATCTGGCCCCCGGAAGCTCTTGCCCACCACCCTTGTGATAATGTCTACGGATTCAGAATGTCATTCAACAGTGCAGCCTTAGCTAGAGTATATTGTTCTTGTTTTACACAAAATCTTCATTCACCACTTTCTTAATTCTGTCCATACCTGGGCATATATTATTCCCTCTTGCCCCCATTGCATATATATGTAAATACACTTTTGTGGCTGAGCCCTTTGGGGTAGATATGGAAGGAAAGTTGAAGTTGCATAATGAAACTTTGGCTTGCAGTATGGAGTGCTTTTTTTTTTTTTTTTTTTAAGTTTCTTTTATAATCATTTTGAGCTGCCTCTGGGCATTAATGTGAACCTGACATTGGTGGATTTGACCCTGTCATACCTAATATTCTTCCACACACTGTCCTGCATTAGCTACATATGGATGTACACTGTAGGAAACATCAGAATATAAAATTTGTCTTGCTTCCTTCAGCTATCATGTTGTATATATGAAATATCTAAAAAGCTAATGACTGCTAACGTACTATTTCACTAAATTAAAATAAGTATTGGACACAGAATGCTTATGGAAAGTTCAGAAATTCCTCAAGGTCTCAGTTATGTATTTTCCATTTTATACCTAGACTTATTAGTTCTCTGTATAATTAAGTTAATGTTATCTATAGTTTATTTTATCATGTGATGTTTCTTAATATGTTGCTTTGTTGTGCAAGACACTTTTAATTAAATCCAAGAAATTCTTTAGACTAATAGGAAGGATCTTGAGCTTGTTGATTCTGGTATAAAATTCATTTGATTGTAGACTATAGACAATATTTCAGAAGTCTAACTTAACATGTCCAATCAGCATTAAGTGCACAATGTGTAGACTATATTTGATAAAGATATCAAGTGCTCAGAGCTATTATCGTGGAAGATGTGTAGACTATATAAGGCAATATTGCTTCAGACTTCAGCACAGTTAGCATTGTCCATTAATTATATCGGCTCATGCACTCTTCCTCCAGAATACCTATTCTTGTTTTGCTAGTCATTCTAGTCCCACTTCAGTTTGTGATGTTGTTTGGCAATTCATAGCAGTCCTGTCATGAACTGTTTAAATTAGCCTCTTCGGTAGACTTCAGAGCCTAGAAAACTCTGATGTATTGGTAAGAGTGTCAAAAACAATCTCACAAACATACAATGTGTCATATACTTCACATGTTGATTTTCACATGTTGATTTTGGTCATGTAATCAGTACTGCTTTTGTGACACATTATATTTACCACACTGAATTCTTGAAGGTAGAAACCAAACAACTGATTAATAAAATACCTCATCATCATCATAATGCTGCTGTTTGGGGTAGTGCAGAGCCCAGATTGTGATTGAACAGAACCACGGTATTGGTAAAAGGCAGAGTCTGCACTTAGAAAAGGGCAGCCACTTCTCTTCCTATGCCCAGCAATGGAAGCGCCTGCAAGCTGCTTAGCATGGTAAAGGTAAACATAGGAATAAAAAAGTGGGAAAGCAGTTCATGTACTTGCTGCATATATCACAGTGAAGGAGGGAGGAAATATTGTTAGATGACTAAATGGACAGAACTAGCATAAAACAGAATACACAAAACCTGACTTGAGGGAGTCCTCATAAAGCAGTGCTTCCTGCTATTAATTATCATTAGGGTTTACATCTATTTCCTAGGAAACTTCCCAATTAAACATCTTAAAGAGATTTGCACTGTGCAAGGATTAAATATATTGTTTTAGTCATTGAAAGTAATAATGGTAGAGTTCAAGAGTTTGGGGAGTTTGTAGCTAAATATGCATATGTGGGGTGGTTATGTGCCTTTACTAAAAATATATTTTTTAAATCTTTTAGCAAATTGACTATTTGGTGAGCCAGTACAACACTACAAAGAACAAAGCACTCTCCGACCTTAATAGTAAGCAATATAAGTTTTTTTTATTATCTATATCTATATTATGTTATATGTATATTTGGTATAGTTACGTTTTCCAGTTTATACCTAGACTTATTAGTTCTTTCTCAACAAAATTTATGATACTTATATAATCTACAGTTTATTTTATGTGATTTTTCTTAATATGTTGCTTTGTTGTGCAAGACACAACATAAATGGCTACTGATATAAAATGAAAGTCAAGGTGTTACAACCAGAGTCACAGATTAATAAACATATGATTCTTTAGGGAAAATGTCACAGATACGGCACAATACACACTTTTCTAAAAAGTAAACTCCATTCTTCATTAAATGACTTTCACCTAAGTCAAAGACTACTAATTTGGGGGTTCTTTTTTCAAGGTTAGTGACCCTAGTACTTTCATTTGGGAAGCATTTCTTAATTTTTGGAGCACGGGACTTGTGCCAAGTGCCATGGCTTCTGGCTGTAGTTTAGATTAGATTATACTGAAGCGAGGTATATAAAATCCAATTTAATTGGTTGACTAGTTAAACAAAGTATTTAACTAGTTAACCAAATAAAGGTGGGAAGTGGGTGGGAGGCCACTCCTTGCCTGGATGGGCTTCAGCACCCCGCTGGACTCTGTGTCCGGACTGGAGCCGCCCAGGCCCCCTCCCTCCCATCACAGACGGTTGCTCCTGCCTGGAGTGCACCTGGGCTTAAGGACGGTGTCTTGAATTTCAAGAGTCAGTGGGTCAGGCTCCAGTTACGTAAGAGACCACGTCTCTATCTACAAGCCCCCAAGATCTGTACTCCTCTAAGCGAATGGTGAAAAGCCAGAACAAAGAGTGTGGGAGCTTCTGACAAGGCCTTCTAAATAAGCCTCCCAAAGCCTACACTAAGCTTTCTATTACCTGAAAATGGAGAAAGCCAGAGATTCCAAGAAGCTCACTAAAGACTTCACTATTACCCATCTATTTTACATGAAAGATAGTTACAGTGATCAGCAGATGTACAAAAACCTAAGATTGATGGAAAATAGGAAGAATCTTTGTATATGTCGTCATTTAAGAACACAGCTGGAGCTTTGGGGGGGAAAGGAGGGAGAAAGGGATCCAAATAATCAATTTCTTTGTTACAAACTATTTTTCATGGCATATGAGTAATAAAATGTTTGCCTCAAATTCATAAAGTGTGTCTTCATAAAGTAAAATTAAGGAGCAGTAATAACAAAGCAATACTGGCACATGCATTTCTTGTTATATTGTTGCAGTGCTCAAGTGTGTTCACTTTCCCAAATCAGGTACTAAATAGACCTCATTCCCTTTTGATTTACTGCATAATCCCACAAGCCTTAGAGGTTAGTGGTGGCAAAGAAGGTGTGGGCATTGGGGTCACCTTATAATGAACTTGGATTTTTAGTCCTGAGAGCAGCTTTTTTAGAAGTTCAGTAAAAACTGGTACAAGATACTTGCTCCGATTAGGGAGTGATACATAATTGCATTGAACTGGCTTACAGTGGATTTTCTTTTCTCTTACTACAGATGTTGGACCGTTGCTTGGCAGCAGAGTTCAGGAGCGGTTCGGGAAAGAAGTACGTCCTGCACTTGATGCAGCTCTAACAATGGCAGGAGGTAAATGTACAGCTCTGCCTTATTTTTAACCTTCTATTGCATTGTTAAGAGACCTAGGCTACATCTAGACTGGCAAGATTTAGCGCAAATACTCTAAACGCAAGAGACTTTGCGTTAGAGTTTTTGAGTAAGAGAGCGTCTATACTGGCATGTGCCTTTTGCAAAAGATTTGCTTTTGGGCAAAAGCATCTATGCCAGTGTAGACGCTCTCTTGCGCAAGAAAGCTCCAATGGCCATTTTAGCCATTGGACTTTCTTGTGCAAGAAATTGATGTTACCTGTCTACACCGGCCTTGTGCGCAAGAACACTTGCGCAAGAGGACTTATCCCTGAGCGGGAGCGTCAGAGTATTTGCGCAAGAAGCACTGATTTCATACAGTAGAACGTCCGTGTTCTTGCGCAAATACTTGCGGCCAGTGTAGACAGGCGGCAAGATTTTGCGCAAAAGTGGCCGCTTTTGCGCTAAATCTTGCCAATGTAGACATAGCCATACTGTCTTATCTTGCCGGCCAGTGTAGACAGGCGGCAAGATTTTGCGCAAAAGTGGCCGCTTTTGCGCTAAATCTTGCCAATGTAGACATAGCCATACTGTCTTATTTCACAAGTTTTCGTAATCCATCTATAGGTGGCGTTCTTTTCTGGGCAGTGACATTTATCAAGTGAATTGAGTTTTTTGTGCATGCCTTGGGGCAAGGGGGAAAGGCATGGTCCCATTACTGAGGAAAGAGCATTATTCCACTGACAGGAGCTTATTTTTCTTTTCCTCAGCGTATGTATCCTTGTGTCTTTGTTTATAAAGATACTAGCAGACTTACTCAGTGTTGTCCAGATGCTGCAGGGCAGGGGGATGGCAGTGTGGGGGGATGCAGAACTCAGGGCACGGCCTTGGGGGGGAGGGAGGTGTGAGCATAAAGGGTGAGGAGGAGGTGAGGAGGAGCTCAGGGCAGGAGTCCCATCTGGCATGGGCCTTTTATCTCCTCTCTCCCTGACCCAGCCACCCTGGGGCATTCTCCCTCCTTTCCTCCCTCTCCCCTCCAGCACTGCAGCCAAGGACTGGGAGTGGGAGTAAAGGGTGTGGGGTGGGGAGGCTACTTACTTGGTGTGCTGGCAGGCAAGATGGCTGAGCCAGGCCTCCTGACCATTCTCTTGGTGGTACAGCTGCCCTCAGTGGACACTCTGCAGGATAGCGTGTTCCTATGGGCTCGCTGCCCCCAGTGCCCACTCTTGTATTGTGTTCCTCTGAACAGCAGCCCCTCCCTTCCCATGTTATGGAAAACAGTCCTTTTCCTAGGGCTTCCGCTTGTCCTGGCACAACCAAAACTTGAAGTTAGAAGACAGGGAAGCTGCATACCAAATTTGGTGGCCCTAGCTTTTACATTTAGGAGAAGTGGGACCTGTTCTCTATAAGTGTCTTTGACTGCTAGGTTTTGACTAGGTAAAGTCCCATCTTCACCTGTTCCGGCAGTACCAATGGTTTATGGAAGTTGCCATGGCAATGAGTTTACACAGCTGAGTTAGCCAGTTGATTGCATTGTATGCAAGATTTTGAGCTTATCTAACCAGGTCTTTGTAGTAAATTTCTCTTCATTTGACATGGTATGTCTGTTCCGAGATTTACTCTTCTTATAGGAAAAGGCTGATTAGGAAAGATGCAAACTTTTTGTGAATTGTAAGTAATGAGGAGTGGTTTCTGTTTCTCAGGCTGGTCATACTCTGATTTATGTCTTCAGTCATCATACCAGAGTTGCTGCTTGTGTGTGTGTGTGTGTGTGTGTGTGTGGGCTATCACCATCAGTTATTATATTTGTCTAGTTTATAGTGAAGATGGCAGCAACTAAAATTTATTGTCTATACATTCTTCGAGGATTAGTAACACTTGATTCTGTGACTTGTCCATTTTAAAGATGATTTTCAGCAGTTCTGTGTAAGATTGCTATTTCAGGAATTTGTAAATTGTGCGGTTTTTCATACAAAAGTAAAAATAATCCCTGAAATTAGTCACTTTTTTTAACTCTACTCATGCACCCATTGTCATTCTCCTTTCTTTGCTTTATTTTTCTGTTGGGCTTGAAGTCAAAGTGGAAAGGGCTATCAAAGGTAAAAGACTTGACAATCTTGTGTGTTGTGTGAAGTGTGGTTCATTTTTGTGCACTTTCTTGTGCATTTTTAGCTGTATCTGTTTGTCTATTCTTCTGTTCAGCACTTCATTGTTTTTATATGATTGGGCTGAGATCTAAAGGCAGAAAATGTTGCATCAGCCAGATGCTAATGCTGGTTCAACATGTTCTGTTTCGTTTGAAACTTATAGTTCAGTGATGTGCCCCAGGTGTATGGTTGTGATAGAAATACAGAAAATATTGTATTGAACTTGCAAAACAAACCCTGGATTTTTGCTAATGATTTGACCCACT